AATCATAATCTATATCAAAGTTACTGTAGAACAAAAAATGAAAACCAAATAAAAATAATCATGGTAAAATAAGAACCAAATCCAGAACCAAAGAAATAGATTTAGGCTCCTACAAAGTTCTTAAGAAAAAAAAATGAAATTGCAAATTGCAGCTTGTTAAAAGTGAATATTTTCAGGTTGTTGAAAAGAAACAAGGACAAAAAAAAGTATTTCCATAGGTCCTATAAGTCCACATGAATTCTTAAAAACGTGTAACAAAACACTGAATCCAGCAATGGAAGTAGCCCCCAACTAACTGTGAGCAAGATCAGATGTTTCAAGTTTGCAATAATGTACATTTAAGCCCCATTATTACTGTGGGTAATAACTAAATATAAACACAAAAGCCCTCGGTTCATAAAAATGAGTGAAGATTACGTATACATCAATGAACAACATGTAAAAGTGATCAAATTTCAGTTTAAAATTGAATTTTTTTTTACACAAGAATCATTAGAGTCAGTTTACTTCAGTGTGGTTTATCTGAGCTGCACAGAAAATCTGAACTGAATCCTAACAAACCATAGATGTGTAACAGAGTGTGTCTCCCTCTAGTGGATGTTGTGGAGTTTTCTGTCGTCTTTGCTCCAAAGGTTCTTGTACAGAGTTTTGCTGTTTCCTGTCACTGTGGGCCTCAGAGCACAGTAGTACACAGCAGAGTCAGACAGCTGAAGCTTCTGGATCTTCAGAGGAACTGACTTATCCTGGATTTCTGTATGAAATCTGTCTTCCTGGAACTCTGGAGCTTTATATGGTGGTTCAGAGCCTAATTTCTTCATCATGTACTTAGGGTAACCATTTACTTTTTGTTTGTACCAGAACAAATATGGACTTCTGTCACTGGTCACAAAAGTACAATTCAGGGTAACTGTGTCTCCTTCAGCAGCAATGACATCTCCTGGTGGCTGAATCACTTCTTCTCCTTTACACTCTGGAGAAAACACAACGGAAGACATGAATCAATAAAGGTGACTGATTAAAGTTGAACAATCAGTAGCTGTATAGAGGTTTTTTTGTTGTTTTTTTTCCATCGTACCAAAGAAAAGAGCAGCAAGAACAATCCACAGCCAATGTTCCATGTGTGCAACAAGGTTTAAATCAGCAGCAGAAACTAGCTGATGTTGTCTGCAGTGAGTTTTTACAGCTGATGGTTCTAATCTGGAAGTCTGAATCTCTTCTATAGTTCAGTAACAGCTCAGCTCCTCCCTGAATTTCTTCGTCTCCTCTTTGATCTGTAGTTTCTTCTTTCTGTTGCTCTTCCTCCTGGTTACAGCCTGGTAACAGAATCTTCGATCACTGAGGAGGGAGGTTGTTTTAGTGATTCTTTGATCCCAAGAGTTAAAAGGTTGGTCATGGTTTCACTGCTGGCAAACACAAGGATCAATAATTTTTATTATTGTTCTGTTAGGACAGACTAATCTGCCCTTTCATCCTTTCTGTTTCCACTTGAGTCACATTTTGGCTGAAATAAGAAACCTGCCAGGCTGCTCAGTGGTTAGTTCTGTGGCCTCACAGGAGAAGATCCCAGTTCACCTCCCGGCCTGGGCCTGGGATCTTTCTGTGTGGAGTTTGCATGTTCTCCCCGTGCAACGTGGGTTCTCTCTGGGTTCTCCGGCTTCCCCCCACAAATCCAAAAAAAGCTGAGGTTAATTGGTGATTCTAAATTGTCCGTAGGTGTGAATGTGAGTGTGTTTGGTTGTCTGTCTCTATGTGTAGCCCTGTGATAGACTGGTGATCTGTCCAGGGTGTCCCCTGCCTTCGCCCTAAGTAGGCTGGGATAGGCTCCAGCCCCCCCACGACCCTAGTGAGGATTAAGCGGTGTATAGATAATGGATGGATGGATGGGTTAATATTAAGAAGAAGAAGAAGCTTTATTGTCATCGTACAAGAAATACAACAAAATTTCCTTTGGCATCATCTTTGCAGCAGCTGATACGGTCACAAGAATAAAATTTAAAAGATGAGATAAATCACAAAATAGCAATAAAATATAAAATAAATAGTTTATTAGAAGTGCAAAAGAGCATTTGTTAGAATGAGTCCGTAAACTGGGAGTGTCATGGTTCCTGCAGCAGTCTCTCCACAGCCATGGGAAAAAAGTTGTGTTTCAGTCTGTTGGTACGGGCTCTCAGCATCTGAGTCTGCCAGAGGGGAGGGTGGTGAATAGAGTAATAGTAAATAATAAAGAAATATTGGGGGGGGGGCTTTCTTTGTTGGTTTCTTTTTTCCTGGTGTATCACAATTGGTATTGCAATCTGTACAATTTTAGTGGTATTGATACCAACTACCAAATTTCTGGTATTGTAACATCATTCACTGGAGTTCATGCAGCTCAAGTGCTGCTACCATTAAAGTAAAAAGATACTGAGATTCTGACATTCATTGATATTTTTCACTGATTCGCCTGTTAATTGAGATTGGTGAGCTGATTCAATTCAATTCAATTGTATTTGTATAGCGCAGTTTACAACACATATTATCACACAGTGTGTAACAAAGGAAGGTATAGACCTTACAAATTTAAACAGAGAAACCAACAATCCAAAGTTGCCTCTGGACTTCCTTTGAGCAAGCGGTTGGCAACGGTGGGAAGGAACGAAAAAAAAAACCCAGAAGGAGGGGGGAAAAAACCTCCGGCAGAACCAGGCTCAGGGAGGACAGCCATCTGCCTCGACCAGTTGTTGAGCTGATGTGATCATCTGCAGTGGTCTCAGACTCAACAATCTCTTGGTGGCTGAATCACTTTGTTTTATCCTTTACACTCTGGTGAAGAACAGAACATGCAGAGGAAGACATTAATCAATAAAGATGGTTGGTTAAAGGAGAGCAGTCCACTCCTGTAAAGTGGTCTTGTTAAGCTCTGTATCTTGCCAAGGACAAGAGCAGAAATATTATTGCACACCCAGTGTTCCACGTGTACAACAAGGTTTAAATCTGCAGCAGAAACTAGCTGATGTTCAACATTAGGTCCAAGATTTGTTCTTTTCACAGCAGCACTTTTTATTGACTTGATGGTTGAACAAAGTGCAGAAGTCGTACTTCGTAATGTGGCTTTCTAGTGGAGCTAAAAAGTTGAGTTCAACAGTAGGGAAAAGGCTGCCAGCAGCTTGCCAGTGTGTTTTTGAACAGAAACTGTGTGTTTCCTGTCACTGTGGGTGTCACGGCACAGTAGTACACAACCGAGTCTGTCGCTGCAGCAGAGGAACTCTGTGCATGAAACTCCTGTGTCATGTTTAAAAGACAACCTTTCTATTTTCTCCAAACATTCTGTAGTGAGGAACTGTGGAGATGAATTGGACTTCTGATGGGGGCCATGTGCCATTTGATTTGGGGGTTGGAATAAATATCTGGGGCTCCCCATTGGTCAATTGTGCATACAAAATTCCATAAAGTATATATCCATCCATTATCTATACACTGCTTAATCCTCACTAGGGTTGCGGGTGGCTGGAGTCTATACCAGCTGACTCAGGGAGAAGGCAGGGGACACCCTGGACAGGTTGCCAGTCTATCGCAGGGCCACAATTAGAGACAGACAACCAAGCACACTCACATTCACACCTACGGACAATTTAGAATCACCAATCAATCTCAACATGGTTTGGGAGGAAGCCGGAGAACCCGGAGAACCCGGAGAGAACCCACGCTGCACAGGGAGAACATGCAAACTCCACCTGCAAACCTTCCAGCTGCAAGGCAACAGTGCTACCAACTGCGCCACCTTGCAGTCCAATAATAATACGAAGAAGAAGAAGAAGAAAAAGAAAAATACTGTGTTGGGTTGAGATAAGAATGCAATTGATTCAGCTTAACATTGTGTGGAATTTCAGTTGTAGTAACTAAAGAAAATTGTCTTGAAAACTTGATTTAAATTAAAATAATAATGAAAAACTGAGTCAAATTTTCAAGTCCCCTCTTCTGTGTACTTACTGTGTCCGGACAATTTCAGATGGTTAAGATGTTGGAGGGGACCTGGAGGCTGAATAAATAGGACACAAAGGAAATCTCAAGGTGAGTGTAACAGCAATTTTTCAATGTCCTTTTTTTGCCATTACTGCACAGGTGGAGCCAGAGTGAACCAACGCAGACCCAAAAACAGAATTTCCAGTCCGTATACTTGCCCTTTAGGTGGATGGTTTATTTTGTGATATCCAAAGATGAACATACAACGGTTTTCCTATAGTGAATTTGGTATATATCTGTCCTAGTCTGGTTTTTCTGGGCTGATGCTGGTCTGATGAGAACTGTGTGCCCTCCCCCTACCTGTACCATCCTCTTTCTGTCACCTATGCTCTCTACATATACACCATGTGTGTAATTACCGCCACCATGTGTCCAAATAATGCAAACTAAATAACCTGCCAACCAAAAACATAAATGGCTCCTACAGTAAGTGTTGTGACCTTTACAAATAAATGACACTGTAACAATGCGTTTGGTTGCATTACCATGTATTTCAATTGTGATGTGACCAATAGTGAACTTGTGTTTAGAGTTTAGGAAACACTTCCATACATAGTTGACGAGATATGTCTTGCCATTGCACATTGCTAGCACTAGTCATACAGTCGACCTCAAATGTTTTACCCTTCCATTAAAGAAAAGGCAAAATTCACAATAGTCACTCAAATAACTAGAAACTGAAAAAAGTCATAATAAATGAAAAATTGCTAAATTCTAATTTTGTGAAATAAGACATTGCTTTTAAATTGTGGTTGAAAAGAAAACTTAAAAAAAAAAAAATAAAACTGTCCTGGACAAATTAGCACACTTTGCTGATGAGCAGTGGGCCAGAATCAAAATACCTGTCAACAGGTGCAGACGTCTGATTGAGAGTTACAGAAAGCATTTGATTGCAGTGATTGTCTCAAAGGGTTGTTCAACAAAATATTTAGTTTACAGGTCCCATTATGCTTGTTTTTTTGTTTGTTTGTTTGTTCATTTTATATATCTGTTGAACCAAAATTCAAAAGTAACGTCATGATTTTCATTAAATTTTTATTTATTATTAATTTTGTCAATTTCGACTTATTTCAGTGACAGCTGTTTTTTTTTTCTCCTTCTTTAATGGGAGGGTATGAATACATTTGAGGACAACTGTATGTAGCAGTGAATGTGACCGTCCTGCTCGTCAGTCGAGCTAGCTAGTGGATAACAATCAGCTGGAGAGAGCTTTCTATGTTTCTTTTTAATTTGGGCCAACTTAAATTAGTGTTATTTCTGATTTCAGGATTTAAATGACATGTTGAAATACACAATTGCAATTCAAAATAAAAATTCAATTAATTAATTTATTAGAAGCTACTACATGCACAAAAACATGGAAAAGCCAAAACTACTGACAAAAATCTAATTGTCTGTCAGCTTAAAAACTTGTGTTGCCAATGAGTGCAATTTAGCAGACTGCGACCTGCACTGGACTGGCGACCTGTCTAAGGTGTCCCCTGCCTTCGCCCTAAGTCGGCTGGGATAGGCTCCAGCCCCCCCGCGACTCTAATGAGGATTAAGCGGTGTATAGATAATGGATGGATGGATGGATGGATAGATGGATGGATGGATGGAAGTAGGTAACACAAAAATTCCTTTGAAATAATGTGGAAAAACTAGTTGGAACAACTCATTCTGATGAGTAATCAAGTTAAAGAGCTGTCAGTATGTTACCAGCTACAGATAAGCGGTAATTAAAAATACTTTTGGTTGATAAAGAAAAGCTAATTCCCCTGACTCATTGTAGCTTGCTGGCCGAACATAATTTCGTTATAAGTTGTCAAAAAGCAAAAACCTTCATAGTGTTTTGTATCAGATCCAGCTTTTTGTGAAAGTTCAAAAGCTCAACATGCAGAGACCTCAGTTTGGGTCCTGCTGGATTTACGGCTGTGATCTTGCCGCTAAATTCATTATCTTCTCTTCAGGATAATGTAATGCTGACACAGGGGTTTTTTCGGGGGGGAGGGGGGGATGTGGCTAAAGTTGCTGAAATCACTGTTATATTCATTAGTGTATTTTGTACATGTTCATTTATGTCCATACATTCATATCAGACATTCATCATGATTTGTTGTAAATGTGTGCAAACTCACATCAATAACGTGACAATCAAAGCACTGAAACAGTGTTTTACTTGTTTACAGGAATAATTTGAAGAGTCTTGTGCAGAATGATCACATCAGATGATACTGTCAACTATTTAGCATTATCAAACTTCGCCAAACTTTGATACCCGACACTACAAATAAGACAAAAGTATATGTGATCACATACTTGTCTACATTTAGATTTTTTTTTAAAAAAACAAAAACAAAAACAAACTATCATCTGCCTGGATTATATTATAAAGTCACCAACACACTCAAAAACACAGACAAAATGATTTTGTGACAAATAGAAAAATCGTTCAGTGACAACAAAACATAAAAACAAGCAAGTGACTTGATTGTTATGGTTGAAATTCTTCACATATTCAAACAGTAAAGTAAAAGTTGTGTATCATCAGTGTTTTATTAAGAACCTGGAGAGAAGTTAGCAAGAAAAAATTTAATCATTGAAGGAAATAAACAATCTGTGTTTCTGTACAGGTCAAAATATACTACATTATATACTATGATGCAACTGGATTACAACCGATACCATTAGTACAGCACTCAGTGTCTGTGTCACAGCGACATCGTCTGATCTGAGGACACCAAAGGCTCTGCATGCTGAACTTTAAACGTATTTATTTTTTAAATTATTTATTTCTTATAAATGTATATTATATGTATCTGACATGAAACACTATGAAGTTGTTTGCATATCTTTTTAAAAAGGATGTCATGTTCTCTTTCAGCTTGCTAATCCAGTCAGATCTGTTGCTTCCAGATGTTACTGCAAAGAAACTTGTTTAATTTTTTTTTTATACAAAAAAATTATATGGAACCACCACAGAAATGCATCAGATTTTAACAAGATGATCAGGACTCCAACTTATTTACATACGAGCTTAACGTTTTCCAAAATTCTTAACTGAAAAAAAAAATTGCATGATGTTCAAACTCGTGTTCATTACATTACATCAGGTAGCAACATCTTCCCGATGTCCCAAGTACAGCAGAGATTGATAACACACATATTAATTATAAAACCTTTCATCTGACAGTGACGGAAACCAGATTTTATTAGACTTATCTCTTACAGTGTTGCATGCAATAAAGTCAGAGGATCATTGTTGAAGCGATTTAAAGGCACTTTGAAGCAGAAATATCTACTTTTAACCTGAATGGATTTTTACATGTTTTTTCAAGTTAGATGTCTGTCAAATACTTTTATACTTTTGTGACTTTTCAATGTCAATGCACATTTCAATCTTTCTCGACTGGTGTTCCAGCTGCACTTGTGTGCGTTCTCATATGCCGCAACAAATGACCATGTTTTGTGAAAGTTTTGCCACATGTTTCACATGAATGAGGTTTCTCACCTGTGTGAGTTCTGATGTGGGCAGTCAAATTACCACTTTCCCTGAAATTTTTCCCACACATTTTACAAGAATATGGTTTCTCACCTGTGTGTATTCTCATGTGGTGCAATAAATTACCACTTTGACTGAAATTTTTACCACAAGTTTTGCAAGAATACGGCTTCTCACCTGTGTGAGTTCTCATGTGGCGTGACAAATTAGAACTTAGACTGAAACTTTTCCCACACGTTTCACAAGAAAATGGTTTCTCACCTGTGTGAGTTGTCATGTGGACCAATAAGAGACCATGTTGACTGAAACTTTTCTCACATAATTCACAAGAATATGGCTTCTCACCTGTGTGAGTTCTCATGTGGCGCAACAAGCTACAACTCAGACTGAAGCTTTTACCACATGTTTCACAAGAATACGGCTTCTCGCCAGTGTGAGTTCTCATGTGGACCAACAAAAGACAACGCTGACTGAAACTTTTTCCACAAGTTTCACAAGAATGCGGCTTCTCACCTGTGTAAGTTCTCATGTGGTGCAACAAACTATCACTTCTATTGAAATTTTTTCCACATGTTTCACAAGAATATGGCTTCTCACCTGTGTGCGTTCTCATGTGAGCCAACAAATGACTTCTTTGACTGAAATTTTTTCCACATGTTTCACAAGAGTAAGGCTTCTCACCTGTGTGCGTTCTCATGTGGGCCAACAAATGACTTTTTTGACTGAAATTTTTCCCGCAAGTTTCACAAGGATACGGCTTCTCACCTGTGTGAGTTGTTATATGACTTTTAAGTGTGGAGGTATATTTGAATCTTTCCCCACAGATGTTGCAGGGATACGGTTTCTCACCAGTGTGCGTTCTCATGTGGACAGTCAAATTGCCACTTGCACTGAAATTTTTCCCACATGTTTCACAGGAATACAATTTCTCACCTGTGTGAATTGTCATGTGGACTTTCAGGGATTTACTATAACTGAAGCTTTTCCCACATAGTTTGCAAACATATGGCTTCTCACCTGTATGGACTCTGTAATGCTTCTTCAATTGGTACTTATCCTTAAAAACTTTTCCACAAGTACCACATTTCACAGACTTTATCCCTGTGTCAGTATCACACTGGCTCTCAGTAATATGAAAGCTATGGGAGACAAGCTGCTCACTATTTGAATCTGGTTCACTGTGGTCAGTTTCCTCATAAGTAGGCGTCACCAGAAAGGACTCAATCTCTGGCTTCAGTACGAGCTGCTCTCCCTCCTGACTGATGCAGACTTCATCCAGCTCATCTTTAATCTGTGGAGCCTCTGGTTCCTCCTGGTCCAGACTGGTGCACTGTTCCTCATGTTCATCTTTGATACATACATGTTGTAGGTCCACCTGGCCCAGACTGGTGCAGAAATCTTCCTGTTCCTCCTTAATCTGTGGAGGCTCTTGGTCCTTCTGTTCCAGGCTGGTGCAGAGGCCCTCCTGTTCCTCCTTTATCTGTGGAGGATCTGGGTCATCCTGCTCCAGACTGGTACAGAGCTCCTCCCGTTCCTCTTTTATCTGTGGAGGCTCTGGGTCCTCCTGTTCCTTTTTAATCTGTGTAGAATCTGGGTCCTCCTGGTCCAGACTGTGGTTCCTCTTCTGGCTACAGAGCTCCTGCTCAGCAAAAACCTCCTCCTTCTGACAGACATGTGGCTGTGGGAGGTCTGGAGAGACAAAGACACGCAAGAATCAAGTTACCCTTTCTGAAAAAAATATATTCTATTTTAACCGTCTAAGGCCTAAGCTGTTTCTGGATGTTTTCTTTCAGACATTGGTCACATTTTTACTCACTGCAGACTCATTTTTTACACCACAATATAAAGTCCTGTTGTAGTAGAAGTGCATTATGAAATGGTTATAAATAAATCATTAAAATGGAAATCTGAATTTGTTCATTTAATTTTCAAAAATTACAAAAAAAAGAAAAAAAATTGAATCAATATGTACAACATTTATCAACAAACGCCTGCAGGTCTAACATATGTAAAGTGATTGTATGGATATTTTTTTACTTTTTACAACCTCTGTATGCATTATTTTCCTCTCAGTCTCATTTTGTCTCCTCTCTGCTCTGTGTAAACACAGTTCAACTGAAAACTCAGAATTTTTGTCAGGTAAGAGTTTGTCATAGGTGAGTCAGTTATGGTTTCTCAGTTGTGCTGAGGAACTAAATCTCATGCAAACAGTGTATTTTAGATACATCAACTTCATAACGGAACCCGATTACTTTCAACTTATGTTTTAAATCTATGTTCTTGACCTATGCCGTTTGTTTTTGCTACCTGGGCTCTGGTGTGCACTCCTGCCTGTCGCCCGGCTTACACTGCACCCAGCCCTAACGCCTATCCCTGCAGGTGGTGAGACCATTAAATATTGCCCCTATGTAGCCTTTTTGGGCTCAGCCACCAAATGCTGACCAGGTTCGTCCCCTTCCATACCTGGCTCCAAAATGGGGTCCCAGTCTCCCTATTCCAGCTGCATCACTTCTAGTGTCTGTACACACCAAGGTTTTCTGGACTGCTCTTTGTCTGGTCCCTTCCCAAGGACCAATTTGCCTTTGGAGACAATTTTAAGGGCTATTGCCCCAACAGCATAGCTGCTAGGATCACAGCGACACAACAATCCCTCCACTGTGATAAGGTGGCAATTTTTCAATGGCCATGGACTGACACTTTGAGGTGCTGACTCTCATCCTTGCACTGACATGGCTGCAAACTGCCCCAGTGCATGTTAAATGTTACTGCTACAGTTGTTGAATCATTTTCATGTGTGATGGGAAAATGAAGCATCACACAGACAGACAGCTTGATGAAGCATCAGCAATAATATGGGCAATGTATGGGACCATCGTGGTGAAGAGGGAGCTGAGCTGGAAAGCAAAGCGCTCTATTTACCAGTCAACCTATGTTCCATCCCTCAACTGTAGTCATGATCGTGAGGGTAGTGACTGAAAAAAAATTAATTCCCCGGATACAAGCGACAAAAATGAGTTTCCTCCACATAATGGCTGAGCTCAGCCTCACAGACAGGCTGAGGAGCTTCAGGCCATCCAGAGGGAGCTCAGAGTGGGTCATTGCTTCTCTGCACTGAAAGGACCCAGCTGAGGTGGTTTGGGCTTCCAATTAGGATGCTTTCTGGGTAACTTCCTTTGGTTTACACTCCACTCAGATATTTTTTTGTACCTCTGATGTTCACATTTGGGTTATGTCGTCTCAAATGAGTAAGCAATTTCTGATGGCAGATGAACAATGCCGGTATACAGCTGTCGTCCAATGCATCTGTGTCTGTCGAACATCATTATAGCTAACTGAGAAATCGCAGTGTTTCCAAACAACACACTTTATTGATTGTGGAATTTCCTGTACAAATTAGGGATGCTAATGATAAGTCACTATTTGGTTAATTGCCATTAATAATTTAACCAAACAAAAACATAATAACCTATAAGGCAGAAGACGTGCTTGTCAGAAAATGTATTGCGCATTATCTGTAGTACCTAAATATCAATTTCTATTTGAAAATAATGCCAGCAACATGCTTCAGAAAACACATCTGTGAAATATGAGCAGAGGAGAGAAGTGGTGATAACATTCCTTAACAACCTAGTGGAAATATGTTAAAAGCTTTGTTAGAACTCATACATAAGTCATATTCATTTGGTAGTTTATTATGATCACTCTATTTTACGTACCTGTTGTGTGTGATGTCATTTTGGGTTTCCAGATGACATCCAGCAGTCTGTGCTGTTTATCAGTCTCTTCTTTTGTCCTGGATGAGGGTGTTTACACTATAAGAAATTCTCTGTATAATTCTTCACATTTGGATTTTACACTGAAGCAGAAAAAGGTAGGTGTCCTGATTTGGCACACGCTGCTGTCCGTCAAGACTGGTGCAGAGTCCCCCCTGTTCCTTTTTAATCTGTGGATGTTCAGGGTCCTCCTGGTCNCAGAGTTTTGCTGTTTCCTGTCACTGTGGGCCTCACAGCACAGTAGTACACAGCAGAGTCTGTCACTGCAGCAGAGGAGATCTTCAGATCCATTTGTGTTTCTTCTTTCCTCACTGTCGCAGACAGTCCAGGGACTGGATTCAAAGATATTTGTCCCGATTCTAAATGAGAGATCAGGAACTCTGGAGGTTTTCCTGGATGTTGCCGATACCAGAAGAAATAATCAGCAGAACCTTTGGTGTATTTGCAGGTCAGAGTCACAGTGCTGCCTTCTGAACTGGACTCTTCATCCTTCACTGCAGTCAGCTGTTGACAGCTGACACCTAAATGAAGAGATGACTCTGCTATTATTCTTATTAATTTTATTGTAAATTTCCCTTGGGAAGGAACAATAAAGTGTATTTTAAAGTTGATCTTAGCTTATTAGATAATGTAAATGAATCACAATGTTCTTGTGTTGTATGAGGTTACATACCAGTTAAAATGTAGAGAAACAACACACAAAATCCGCAATTATCCAACAGAACCATGTTGAATGAAAGTAATGTTTCTTGATAGTGTGTCGAATCTGGAAGTTTGAGTCTCTTCTATAGTTCAGTAACAGCTCAGCTCCTCCCTGAATCTCTCTGTCTCCTCTTTGATCTGTACTTTCTTCTCTCTATTACTCTTCCTCCTGGTTACAGCCTGGTAACAGCATCTTCAATCACTGAGGAGGGAGGGTGTTTTAGTGATTCTTTGATAGCAGGAGTTAAAAGAGTCCACATTCCTCCATTTCTACTGGCCTTAATTTTGTACTAGTTAGTTTTAGAATTGATTTGAAAATGTTACTGCTTGTTTGTAAAGCCTTAAACACTCGCATCTATCTGACATTTGTGGTTATTGTAGCTCCTTATGAGCCTATTGGCTGTTTCCGATTCTCACGCAGAAACATTCTGACCGTTCCTGAATTTCACGTTGTGACCACGACTGAATGATTTAAGTAAAACATTTAATGGTCAGTGTTCTGACATCTTTCTTCAAGTCAATGTTCACTCATATGTTGAAAACATGATGTAGCATAAAAACATGAGACGCAATTAAAGGTGCAACTGTCACACAAAGAAAACAGTGATTTTGTAAAACCACTGACACACAGTTTAACTCTGAGTCAGATGTGACTATTACTTACCATGGTTTTATGTCACTTGAACCACATTGTGCAGCTTCTACCACGTTGTAAACATTCAACATCAGTGGGCATAAACAGCCTCTGAAAGATTCAATGTGACCAGACTCAACAAAAACAGCATTATTCTCATCATTTAATAACCAAACCTAGTATATCCTAAACTGCAGCCTTTGTGATTTGATAGCCACCTTTTTCTTTTTATACATAGCAACTTGAATTTGAAATCAAGTAATGTTTCAGCCCCATGTGTGACACGAGGCAATCAGGCATTTGCTGTTCATTAGATATATCATAATTAATTAATTGTCAGCTATTAAGTGAATCACCTGCTGTTCTGATAATCAAGTTTGTATGGTCTAAAGTTCATGAAGCCCAGCTTGACTCACTTTTCCCCATAGCTTTCCAATGTCCACATTGTATGCCTTGCTGGGTGTACTCCAATGATAAAATCCAGCTGACACCAAGTTGCGGTTTAAACAAGATTCTTTAGTTCACAAAAATAAAATTTACAGACGGAAAACATAAAGCAAAACGAGGATACAAAGCGTGTGCAGTCAAAAATCTGTTTGGCTCCATGCCATCATTCATTTCCCAAGAGCCCTTGCAAATTTAAGGGACCCTAATATAGTGAACCAAAATATCAAAAACAAATCAATAAACCAAAACGCCACACTAACACAGAATTCAAATATCCAAAAATATGATTAACAACATTTAACCAAATAACAGATAAATTTAGCAAAATAAAAATGTGAATCATAATCTATATCAAAGTTACTGTAGAACAAAAAATGAAAACCAAATAAAAATAATCATGGTAAAATAAGAACCAAATCCAGAACCAAAGAAATAGATTTAGGCTCCTACAAAGTTCTTAAGAAAAAAAAATGAAATTGCAAATTGCAGCTTGTTAAAAGTGAATATTTTCAGGTTGTTGAAAAGAAACAAGGACAAAAAAAAGTATTTCCATAGGTCCTATAAGTCCACATGAATTCTTAAAAACGTGTAACAAAACACTGAATCCAGCAATGGAAGTAGCCCCCAACTAACTGTGAGCAAGATCAGATGTTTCAAGTTTGCAATAATGTACATTTAAGCCCCATTATTACTGTGGGTAATAACTAAATATAAATACAAAAGCCCTCAGTTCATAAAAATGAGTGAAGATTACGTATACACCAATGAACAACATGTAAAAGTGATCAAATTTCAGTTTAAAATTGAATTTTTTTTTACACAAGAATCATTAGAGTTGAACAAGGCAGCAACCGCAAAAGAAGACATTATTGACTTTACTGGTCAGTTTACTTCAGTGTGGTTTATCTGAGCTGCACAGAAAAAACTCATGTGGCAGACACATCTGAAAGGTGGTCTGAACAAGATGGCTGTGAGTGGTTTGGCAGGCTCCACTCATGAGCAGAAATCTTTCAACATTGCTGTTTCTAATCTCTTCTACCTACTTTTAAAGACATTTTTCTGGGGTTTCAACAAGCCACTGCATTACACCTTCATGTGGTGCAGTAAAAACAAAGGCAAACATGAACAAAGCTATACCGGCCTGTACTTGCTCACCTGCAGTTTGCTATCACTGACGCCTGCTTTTTTCATCTGCAATGTACCCGGGACTCTGGCTGCAAAAGCGCATAATTCTCACAACATCATCGCTGATCCACTGGGAATTCTAACAGAAAAAACACAATTGAACCTCTTCGGATTTGGTTATGTCGCAGTCTTCACGCGGATTCTCAAGGACGGCCGAGCTCAGGTCTTCAAGCCAGCACCCAAAATTACAACCAGGCGGAAGATCAACCTGTCATCAGCCAAAATGCTACTACTACTGCTACTACTAGCGGGAGATGTTCATCTAAACCCTGGGCCCCTTTTCCATCCAGAGATTAACCCAAAAGTGCAAAATCTCATCCCGACCCAGCCAGAACCATCTGTAGTGATTACACCCATTCAACCTGTTGCAACCTCACCTACCCCGCAACTCACCCTGACTCTGGTGCCGGATGGTGTCTGTCCCGGGGGAGACGGGGCGAGTGCTGCCTTTGGGAGTCGGTTGGTTGGAGGAGGTTTCTGTCGGCGGGGCTCTCTTGGTGAGGTATGGACGAATGGACAGGTGAGTCCAGCGGCCGTGGTTGGAAACGGCGCACTCGGCGACCAGGTATCCACAGGTGCTCCCGGAGAGCCTGCTAGGCTCCTGCAGCGGCTACGTTCGCATCCTCCAGCCTTGGAGGGGAACATTGAGTCATGTCATCCAGCAGTCGTAGCTGCTTCGGCTGCGGTAATGTTGGAACAGCCCGGGATCGCTGGCTCTGAAGTCGGGGTTGGTTCTATGGCCCGCATTTACCCACAAAATATACCGGCTATGGATTGTCATCCACACGTTGAACTGTCTGTAACAGCTGACGCATGTCAACAAAGACGGAGTCCCGTAAGGGCCAAAAGACATTTAGCAAATCGCGCAACTTTAAAACAGAGGCAGTTAAAACTCTTTCAAACGGTGAACCATGCCCAAATCATCTGGAACTCTGGAAAAAAAAACCGAACGGAATTCTGGGAGGACATATAAATATCAGAAGCATACTACCAAAAATAGATCAGATACAGAACTTACTTATTGATTCTAACTTGGATTTTCTGTGTATATCTGAGAGTTGGTTGACTAGTAACGTTCCCACTGACCTAATTAGCATACCAGGATATACATGCTACAGGAGAGATAGGCCCAAGGGGAGGGGAGGGGGAGTTTTAATTTATATTAGGGAGCATTTTAAGAGTTTAGAGCTTGAATTAAATGTGAATTTGGAGTGCCTAGGATTGAATGTAATTCTCTCCCCA